ATATATTGCAAAGATCATAAGCGGATATAACAACAACAAACTCACTATGTTCCCAACAGGTGGGGTTTGGGAAGGTAGTCTGTACGCAGACCCTACCCCTACGGCTTACCTAATAATGCAGGTAGAGAGGCTATTTCCAATAGACCCAAGATCAGAAGCGGATTTAAGATTTAAATTATATAGGTCTGTCTTTGAAGGTGATAATATTAAACCCGTTGTAGTTTTAAAATTATGAATTCAAATCTACTAATTTGTTTTAATTTTAATAAACTTTTACACATACATATATGTTTCCGCCTAAATTATTGGGTTCAGATGAACCCGGCAGCATTAGGCTACATCCGCCGCCGGCAAAGATCCGTCAACGTCCAAGAATGAACTTGGTGCCCAAGGCAAAGTGCTGGTCCCAGCAGAACTGAATTTTATCTCCTTAACTTCCAAAACTCATACGCCCACCACACAAGCATTGACTCCTTCATTAATAAGTTGCATACAAAGAGTCCATCATTTTCCTGAGATGGATTCAAATTTCTAATTCTTAGATGTAGGTTATGACTTTGAGGGGTACTATATAAAAAATTATACTACGCTTTTACAGAATATAGTATATACTTATCTAGCATCTACTACCTCCATCTAAAATTATTTGTCATTTTAGAAGTTTAAGACAAAATTAATTATTATTTTTTATTTAATTACCTTTAGTATTAATTGTTCTTAAAAACTATAAACGCATAAATCCCTTAGTACTGTATTAATTGTTCTTGAAGACTATAAATACATAATTGAGTTAATAGTACTCATTGAATTAAGAGGGATCATATTTTAAGACATAAATAAGAGTAAAATAATTAAAATCTCTTTTAGTTAATATTTTATTAAGGGGCGTACAAGAGAAAAACGGGACAAATAATTTGAGACGGAAGGAATAGTATAATTATACTTTTTCAAATTGTTGTGTTTGACCCTTGAAATGTTGTAACTTGTAAGTCTTTCAAAGAATTTGAATGTCTTACATATTATGCCACGGTTAAGAACGTGGAAGAAAATACATGTTATGAGACAAAGATTCGCCAAAGTATATTAAATTAGTAACCAAGGCAGCGACCTGGTCCAACAAACGAATTTTAATGTCCCAAATATACAAAACATAAGAGTCGAGTACTGCATACAAAAAGAATGCATGGAATCCTTCACCTAAATGCACAAAACTAGTCCAATAACGTAACCAATTATCAAAGGCGGATTCAGAATTTGAATTTTATGGCTTCCTGTCATAATATCAAATTTATATACAATAATAATTGGATTCACAATTAAATATTCATAAATATTTAGTGATTTCTTAATAGAAATACACCATCTATGTAAAAGTTACCGATTCCCGGTAACAACACTCTAGATCCCACTGCCAATTACCCTATATTTGTATCACATTTGGTGCATGTCCTTGCCGTTCCATTCATCAATTACTATTAACAAAGAACCCAACTATGATAGTGTATAGCCGTTCCATTCATCAATTCCGTCAATCCTTCTCAAAGCCTTAAAAACCCTATACTTGCTATTGTTATTGAGAATGAAGTAAATCAAAGAATATAGAGAAAATGATAGTGTATAGCCGTTGTAAAAATAATAGTCGAAAAATGTATAAAATTTGTATAGAATTAAATTGTACAAAAATAAAGACTTCGAGGCCTGCGAACGCGACGGAAAGTGTACCTTGAAGTCTCCACAGCAATATCTGGTATGCTATCTAACAGACTCTAAAGTACGTGGATCTGCACCAAAATATGCAGAAATATAGTATGAATATATTACGGTCAATATCCAGTAAGTATCAAGATTAATCTCGATAGAATAGTGACGAGGTACAAGTACACTCAATACACAAAATAATTTGTACACTATAAAAGTATATAGCTAATAATGGAAAAGAGAAATTAGTAAAAGACAACAAGATCACGTGGTATAAGAACTTTCAAATCAAAAAAACAAACACCCCCNCATACACGTTTTGCGTATCCCCCAAGCCTATGAAAACCCTATAAATACCATTATTATTCACTTGATATTCCATATCCAATTCCTTTGCCGAAATTCAAGACTTTCTCCAATTTTTTAGCCTTCAGTATTCTTATCCAATTCACTTCATATCTGCAGAGTGAAATTACCATGGCGACTCCTAGCGCTTATCTTGCGGAAGCTTATGTGATGGGGAAACAATACAAGGAGAAGATGAAGACAGAACTGGAAACTAATGATACCAAAAAGCAACATAATGATCCTAAAACCTCACCCTCCTCCTCCTCTTCTTCTTCTTCTTCGGGTGGTTGCTTTTCCATGAAAATATTCAAGAAAGCCCATCCAAAAACCGCTCCTCCGCCATCGGATTCCGCCGTGACACGCCGTGGAGTAGGATATGAGAGCTAACAGTTGCTATAGCTATATATATATATTACTGTTCTAGGAATGTTTTTAAAGCCACTGTATTGTTTTTTCTTTTTCGTTTCTTTATTTCATGTGTTTGGAATTCATGAACTCAACTAGAGTGAAGAAGTTCATGATAATTAAAAAGATTTACTTGTATATGCGGATAATGACATGATTCTCTAATTATACAACTCCACAGAATTTATTTAAGTCTCAATTTTTATGGTGCACGTCCACATGCGCGTCACCTAGCATGTGTGTCGCCTCCAAACAAATCACATAACACGTATAATCAGGGTTCATACCCTCAAAACCAAGTTTAGAAGTGTTACTTACCTCAAACCGTGTAATTCTTTATTCCAGTATGCCTTTGCCTCGCGAATCAGCCTCAGAACGCCTCGAATCTAGTCACAATTAATTCGATTTCAGTCAATACAAATTATAGGAATTAATTCCATATGAAAATACTAATTTTCCAACAAAATTCAAAATTTCACTCAAAAATTGTCAGTGGGGCCCACGTCTTGGAACCCGACAAAAGTTACAAAATATTAACGCTCATTCAACCACGAGTCTAACCGTACCAAATTTACCAAATTCTGACATCAACTCGGCCTTCAAATCCTCAAATCTTATTTTCAAATCTCTAGGCTCAAAATCTCGAATTAGACCTCAAAAATACGTAATCTAGTCGAATAATCGATGATAATTCAATATTATTGACTAACAATGATCATAAGTGACTTAGCTCAAGATTTTCCATGAATTCTCGCTCAAATATCGCTTCAACTCGTGTTTGAAATGTCCAAAGATGAGAAAATCTCGGACCCCTCTGTTTTTGTACATTGTCCAGAGGTTCCGCTTTTGCGGAATTCTTTTAACCGCATCTGCAGTTCCGCTTTTGCAGTGAAGCTACCGCTTCTGCGACTGCCATCGCTTTTGCGGACTCGCTTCTGCGGTCCAGTCCCTCCTTAGCCCAGGCCGCATCTGCAACCATTTTGTCGTTTCTGTGGTCGCGCTTCTGCGAGGCTTCGTCCGCTTCTGCGGACCTCACGCTTCTGCGATGCCAGGCTCGGTTATGCGAGCTCGCACCTGTGTGATAATTTTCGCAGGTGCGATTAGATCAGTAGGTAAAAATTCCCAGCTTTGTTCTAAGTCCAAATTTGATACGTTAACCATCCGAATCTCACCCGAGACCTCAACCAATTATACCAATAAGTCCCAAAACATCATACGAACTTAGTCGAAGCCTCAAATCATATCAAACAACGCTAAAAACATGAATCATGCCCCAATTCAAGCTTAATGAAACTAAGAAATTCCAACTTCTACATTCAATACCGAAACCTATCAAATTAAGTCTGATTGACCTCAAATTATGCACACGCGTCATAAATGACATAACGGACATATGAAAATTTTCAGAACTGGATTCCGACCCCGATATCAAAAAGTCAACTCCCCGGTCAAACTTTCAAACTTAAACTTTCTATTTTCGCCATTTCAAGCCTAATTTAACTACGGGTTTCCAAAAAAAAAATTTCGGGCACACTCCTAAGTCAAAAATCACCATACGGAGCTATTGAAATCATCAAAACTCTATTCCGGAGTCGTTTACACATAAGCCGATATCTGGCTAACTATTTTAACTTAAGGTTTAAATCTTAGAACTAAGTGTTTCAAATTCATTCTGAAACCTCTCCGACAAGTCACATATTTATAATCGAACACGGGATAAGCAGTAAATGGGGGAACGGGGTTGTAATACTCAAAACGACCGGTCGGGTCGTTACATTCTCTCCCTCTTAAAAAAATGTTCGTCCTTGAACAGGTTTAGAATTATACCTGGAGTCTCAAATAGGAGTGGATATTTGCTCCGCATCTCCCGCTCAGACTCCCAAGTAGCTTCTCCGACTGGCTGGCCTCTCCACTGCACTTTCACTGAAGTTATGTTCTTTGATCTCAACTTTCGAACATGCCGGTCCAAAATGACCACTGGCTCCACATCATAAGTCGAATTACCATCCAATTGCACTATACTGAAATCCAAAACATGAGACGGATCTCCGACATACTTCCGGAGCATAGATACATGAAACACTAGATGAACACCCGATAGACTAGGCGGCAATGCAAGTTCATAAGCCACCTCTACAATCTTCTTAAGTATTTCAAAAGGCCCAATATACCTAGGACTCAACTTGACCTTCTTCCCAAATCTCATAACACCCTTCATAAGCGAAACTCGGAGTAGTACCTTCTCTCCTACCATGTAAGCAACATCACGAATCTTACGGTCGGTATAACTGTTCTGTCTAGACTACGCCATGCGAAGTCAATCCTGAATCAATTTAACCCTCTCCAAAGCATCCAGAACCAAATCAGTACCCAATAGCCTAGACTCACCCGGCTCAAACCAACCCATTGAAGATCGACATCGTCTCCTATATAAAGCCTCATACGGAGCCATCTGAATGATCGATTAGTAGCTGTTATTGTAAGAAAACTCTGCAAGTGGCAAAAACCTATCCCAAGAACCCCCAAAATCTATAACACAAGCGCGAAGCATATCTTCCAATATCTGAATAGTGCGCTCGGACTATCCATCCGTCTGAGGGTGAAATGTTGTACTCAACTGAACCTGTATGCCTAACTCTCGCTGTACTGATCTCCAAAACTGTGATGTAAACTGCGTGCCCCGATTTGCAATGATGGACACTGGCACACCGTGAAGGCGAACAATCTCGCGGATACAAATCTCAGTCAACCGCTCAGAAGAGTAAGTAGTCCCAACTGGAATAAAATGCGCGGACTTGGTCAACCGATTCACAATTACCCAAAGAGCATCAAACATCCTCAAAGTCCGTGGGAGCCCAACTACAAAGTCCATGGTAATATGCTCTTATTTCCACTTCGGAATTTCAAGTCTCTGAAACAATCCGCCCGGTCTCTGATGCTCGTACTTCACATGTTGACAATTTAAACACCAAGCTACAAACCCAACTATATCTTTCTTCATTCTTCTCCACCAATAGTGTTGTCTCAAGTCCTGATACATCTTTGCGGCACCCGGATGAATGGAGTACCGCAAACTGTGGGCCTCCTCAAAAATCAACTCCCGCAGTCCATCTACATTTGGCACACAAATCCGACCCTGCATTCTCAACATCCCATCATCTCCAATAGTAACATCTTTGGTATTACTATGATGAACTGTGTCCTTCAGGACAAGCAAATGGGGATCATCATACTGGCGCTCTCTAATGCGATCATATAAGGAAGACCGAGAAACCACACAAGCTAGAACCCAACTAGGCTCAGAAACATCTAATCTCACGAACTGATTGGACAAGGTCTGAACATCAAGTGCAAAAGGCCTTTCACCAACAGGAATGAATGCAAGGCTACCCATACTCATCGAATTTCTACTAAAGGCATCGTCCACCACATTGGCCTTCTCGGGATGATACAGAATAGTAATATCATAATCCTTTAGCAACTCCAACCATCTCCGTTGCCTCAAATTTAGATCCTTTTGTTTGAACAAGTGCTAGAGACTCTGATGATAGAGACTCTGATAATTTGTAAATACCTTGCAAGACATACCATAGAGATAGTGCCTCCAAATCTTTAGTGCATGAACAATAGCTACCAACTCTAAATCATGAACATGGTAGTTCTTTTCATGTGGCTTCAACTAGCGCGAAGCATAAGCAATCACTCTACCCTCATGCATTAAGACACACCTAATACCGATCCGAGAAGCATCAGAATATACTGTATAAAAGCCTGAAGCTGAAGGCAAAACTAGAACTGGAGTTGTGGTCAAGGCAGTCTTAAGCTTCTGAAAGCTCTCTTCACACTCATCCGACCACCTGAATGGGGAACCTTTCTAGGTCAATTTAGTTATGGGCGCCGCAATAGACGAGAAGCCCTCCACAAAGCGATGATAATACCCAGGCAAGCCGAGAAAACTCTGAATCTCAATAGTTGAAGATGGCCTAGGCCAACTCTGAACTGCCTCTATGTTATTCGGATCCACCTGAATTCCCTCACTGGACACTATGTGTCCCAAGAATACCATCGAACTAAGCCAGAACTCACACTTAGAGAATTTGGCATAAAGTTTCTCCTCCCTCAGCCTCTATAGTACAATACTCAAATGTTGTGCATGTTCCTCCTGGCTACATGAGTACACCAGGATATCATCAATAAATACTACGACGAACAAATCAAGACACGGCTGGAATACATTATTAATCAAGTGCATAAAAGTTGTTGGGGCATTGGTCAGCCCAAAAGACATCACGAGAAATTCATAGTGACCATATCGGGTCCCGAATGGTGTGTTTAGAATATCCGAATCCCAAATTTTCAACTGGTGATACCCAAATCTCAAATCAATTTTGGAAAACACCTTCACTCCCTGAAGTTCCTGAAGTTGCTCTTTCAATTCAGCTGGTGTCATACGATACGGAGGAATAGAAATGGGTTGAGTGCCTGGTACCAAGTCAATACCGAAATCAATATCCCTGCCGGGTGGCATACCCGGGAGGTCTGCAGAAAATACATCCGAAAAATCTCGCACTACCAGTACAGAATCAATAGTAGGAGTGTCTTATAATACCCCAAAAAATTTCAAAGGACTTAAGTATAAGGCCTGGTAAAATTTGCAAAGAAACTAATGTTTCATAGTGCCAGACTAGGCTTACATGTTTGAGGAACTTTTTGGGTTGAACAATACACCGGAAAGTAAAGGAAAATTTTCAGCAGAAAAGTGCATTTCTGCGGTCCATTATGCGACCGCAGAACCACTCTGCGGACCGCATAATGGCCGCAGAGTGAGGCAGTTGATTGGGTCAGTTGGAAGCAACTATGCGGTCGACTATGTGACCGCATAACTGTTATACGGTGCACTATGCGACCGCAGAACAGTTATGCGGACCGCAGACTCAGACAGATTTTTGGTCATTTTGGACACCAATTATATGACCGATATGCGGTCCGCATATCGGTTATGCGATCACATACCTTGTTCCGGAGCTTCATTTTTGGATTTTTAAAATCCGACCCTATTTCGTTAAATACAGTCTTTGGGCCATTTTTGAGACATAATCTGATATTTTAGAGTGAGAGAGGATACCCTAGAGTGAGAAGGTGATTCTTCAATAAATTTTCTTCAATTCTTGCTCAAGTTTTGGAAGATTAAG